GAAATTGCTCCCAAATCCGAGCTCCAAACCTTGAGTTTTGATAAAAATGGCAAAACCTCGTTTTTGAAATGTTAAGTATTGTTCAGGAGTCTAAAGCATCGCGAACGCGATAGGAAGCACGCGTTCGCGAAGAAGGAAAATATCAGGGCCCAAAAAAAGCCCTTCGCGATCGCGAAGGGAGGAGCGCGAACGCGAAGGGAGGAGCGCGAACGCGAAGGCCAGGGGATCAAGAACTACGCGAACGCGACAAGGCTTACGCGAACGCGATGGAGGAAATAGTGAGCTACGCGGACGCGGGTGATCTTATGCGAACGCGAAGAGGAACGGGCCCCCTCTACAGACTTACACTACGCGAACGCGGGAGAGTGGCCGCGAACGCGATGAGAGGATAGGCTACTACTACGCGAACGCGGTGCCTTCTTCGCGACCTACAACTTTCTGGGGTAAGCAGACTTTAATATGACTCAGTTAGGCCAAGGATTTAAAGTCCATTTTGGACTTATTTTCGTGAACATTTTCAGAAGTTTAGAAGTGTGGTGCATCTTAGTTTTAATTGTAACTTAATTATCTTGATACTTAAATCTTTTTAAAGTAATAACATAGATTCATCCATTAAACATTTTCTCTCTAATAATGATCAGAAATTGAATTCTTGAATGTACAACGTGAAGATTTCAAGTTTACCATATAGTCGTTTTCAGTCTGAAGAGCTAATTTCAAGAACATTCTATGTTTAATATTTCTTTGCCACATTATTTGATTTGCATTTTTGACCCAAGATCTTAATGGCTTGGCCTATGAAACAGATGATTTTCCTTCTTAGTTTACTCTTGTTGAAGTTTAATTTTCAACTGATTGTAAATTTGAATGATGCACAGCAAATAGCTATGGCCCTCACAATTAAGTCTAGAAGTTAAAATAAACCGAGGCGTGCCATGCCCAATAAAACCTTAAATTGCATGGCCCTCGTTTAATTAATCTTGTTTAATCCTTAGAATTCGAGCCGTGTCATTTAGCAAATCTTCCATGGCCCTCGCAAAGTTAACAACGCATAGTTGCTTTAGGCGCGTTATTTAATAATACTACCTTCCTAAATTCGGGTGCACATTTATGTGACCCAAATCCAAATCTCAACGAAGTCGAAATGTGTCAAAAACCGCGGGTGCATTTATGTGACGTGGTTCGAGACGCGTTTTCACGACGTTGCAATCCTCTTTAAAAATAAATAATAAAAGCGGTTTAAATTTAAAAAGCACATAAGTTAAAACATGTATTAAAATCAGATTTTTAGCCAATTATAATAATTTAAGCGATCGTGCTAGAACCACGGGATCCGGGGGTGCCTAACACCTTCCTTCGGGTCAACAGAATTCCTTATTCAGAATTTCTGGTTCGCAGACTCCAATTGGGAAGTCGAAATTTTCCTCGATTTGGGATTCAAGTTAAACCGGTGACTTGGGATAGCAAAAGCCAATCCTATCCCAAGTGGCGACTCTAAATCAAATAAATAATCCCATTTCGAATAATGTCACTTAAAATAGAAAAACTCCCTTATACATTATCCTTCGGGGTAGATGTGTAAAAAAGAGGTGTGACAAGAACGACCGGCCAAGTTATTACAACATAGGTAAAATCCATCTTGATAATCAAATCGTCAAATAATAATAGAGGCATAGGATAGCATGTTAGGTGCAACATGAAAATATCTAAAATGCATGACAAATATAAAGAATACATGTGCATGATCAAGAATACCACCCTTATACCGCCACACGAATATCAACAGTGAAATACCACCATTATACTCCACACAACATCATCAATAGTGAAATGCCACCATTATACTCCACACAATATCATCAATAGTGAAATGCCATCCTTATACTCCAAACAACATCAACAGTAAAATGCCACCCTTATACTCTACACAACATCAATAGTGAAATGATACCTTTATACTCCGCAGATCATAATCTGTCATAACAATCATAGTACCACAATTCGCGTGTACGCCATCAATACTGAAACATGAAAGGGCGATCCTAGGGGAATGGATTTGTGTCAATACGTTGCACGGTATAAAGCCTTGTGCATAACAATAGTCATAGGGCAAGGATCTTGTGCCCTAACAATAACAATATCAGCATAACTGCATGGCAAAGACCTCGTGCCACAACAATAAACACATGACAAAGACCTCGTTCCCTAACAATAACAATATGATAATATCCTTACGGCAAAAATCGCGTTCCATCACCTTAGTTCATATCCAAAAATCATATGCAGTGATGCATTCATATAAATGGGAAAATAAGCATATATGATGCACGTGGACTGAGAAATAACCATGCATGAATGTGTGTGAGTATATAAGGGATGATTCCTAGGTATGGTGTATGCCTATATATATGTATGACCATGGACCGAACATGTAATACGTTATCCAAATAATTATTATGTCCTAAATAAGCATCAAAAGTCGTTTCATAGTCTTTAGCGTGAGTAAGAAAACTCGAGTAGTCATACTTCAATTTAAAGGTATAACACAAGAATAACAAGTACGGATGTGTGTTAATAGCATACGTGTGACTACGTCTAAAGCAACACTCTCTAAGAATAGTTCATCGTCCTCAAAATAAGGTACCATTAGCCTCACATTAGCTCTAGCATGATTTATTATGCTCAAGTAGTCAATTAATTGAATAATACATAGAATCAAGTAGAACACACAATCAAATAAGGCATAAAGTAATCTAGAATCAACACGGAGCATGAATACTCATGGCACATGTATATACGTTCATCTCCTCATATATACATCACATTCCCATGTAGCAAACATCATCGATTAATAGGAAAAATTTTCTCAACCAAATCTAGACAAGACACTTACCTCATCCGAGCTAGTCCAAAAGCTCCAAAATCGTGTTTTCTTGAGAGATCACCTCTAACCGATTTAAATCTAGCCAATTATCAACCAAGGAAGTTATAGGAAGTAATCCCAATCAATAAAGCCTTGATCTTTGAAGAATTTTCAAAAGGTCAACAATGTCAACCTCGGGCCCATATGCTTGAAACCCAGAACAAATATCAAAATTTGATAACCCATAACCTGTCGAATCCAAATAAATGATTAGATTCTAAAACCGAATCCAAATCGGTACTCAAATCCTCAAAATACACTTTCTCAAAGTGTAGGCAAACCCTAAATTTCATCTCAAAAATCTATATAATAATTTATGTAGATTCTTGAAATGATACCAAATATGGGTAGAAATCACTTACCCCAAATTATTGTATGAAAATATCCATGAGAAATCGCCCCTCTCCAAGCTTAGGGTTCAACATATGAGAAATGAGCTCAAAATCCCGAAATACATAACTTAAATCCAGCTGCAGATGTTGCATTTGCGACCAGAGGCTTGCAAATGCGAACCTCGCAAAAGCAACCTTAGACTCGCAAATGCGAATCCCGTCTGACCCAGCCAATGTCGCAAATGCGACCAAACACTTTGCAAATGTGAAGTTCCCCAGTTGCCAGTCGCAAAAGTGACCAACACCATCGCAAAAGCAAACAAAATATCAAAAGCCCACATTCGCAAATGTGACTCACATACTCACAAATGAGAGACCGTCCTAGATCAACCAGGTCGCAAAAACGACAACATCCTCGCAAATGTGATGGTCGCATTTGCGATCTCCTTATCGCAAATGCGAAGAACCATAAGCAGCAATACAAAAATCATCCGAAGTATCCGAAACCACCCCGAATCACACCCGGGTCCCCGTCCATACATATTAAGAAGTCCAAATATATCTTCTAAAATTATCCAAAGACTCGAAACACCACAGATAACATCAAAACCAAGAATCGAAGATCAAATAATTCTCTTAACTTTCAAATCTTCAAACATATGCCGGATGCGTCCGAATCACACTTAAATATCCGGATAACAACCAAACTTTACACACAAGTTTCAATCAACAAAACAAACTTATACAAGCTCTCAAAACCATAATAGGAGCCCGATAATACTGACGTCAACTCTCGGTTAAACCTATGAACTCTCCAATTCTTCGAATTACCAACTTTCAACAAATAGAGCCAAAACCTTCTAGGAACATCCAAATTCAGATCCGAACATACGCCCAAGTCCAAAATTACCATACGAGCATATTAGAATCATCAAATCACCAATCCGAGGTCGGTTACTCAAAAGTCAAACCTTGATCAACTCTTCCAACTTAACTTCCAGATTGAAAAACACTCTATCAAATCCATTCTGAACCACCCGAAAATCAAAACCTCGTACAAGCAAGTCATAATACATAATATAAAACCACTCGAAATCTCAAATTATAGAACGAAATGCTAAAACTCAAACAACCGCTCGGGTCATTACAAGAGTAGAGGTGAACGATAAAGAGTGAATTATTAAATCAGGATTGGTTTCAACTCCATTCTACATCCCAATCAGAGGTTGACCTACCCATTGGTTAGGAGGGTCACCGACCCCCGATAATTTTGGAAAAAATGCATGTATAAATGTGTATATATATGAAATCATATGTATATATTTTGGTTGACACTTTAAGATTCAAACTTAGGCAACTGCACTGGTCGATTTGTGCACGACTTAATTTTTAGTGTGCTATCTGGGTTCAGTTGCGCCTCTAGCATTTGCTCAAATTTTTATTCGATAGTAATGCCCCACTTTCAAATGCCGAGTTCGCCTCTGATTCCAATCACTAATTTATATGTAATCCAATATCACCAAAGGATTTTTCATCTTTTACTTTCCCCTCCTTTATTTGCCGGCCAACTTCATTATTATAAGACTCAAAAGAATGAAAGACAAACAAAGAAGAATGAGTGGTTACTCATTGTAAAGAAAGAGCATATATGAGGCGAAGACTCCATTGCTTGTTATGGGCTATATTCACTTAGACTACTGCCATTCTGACCAAGCGCAGCCTGCTATATGACCCTTACCCATGAAGGTATACTTGGAGAACAACAGATAAAACATTGTATTCTGTCTTAGGTAACAAATTTTCCTCCTCCAGGGACTCAGTGAGTATACCTTCATGCTTGTTTGAGTTAATGAATACAATGCAATAACTGATACTGTTAATTCGTACACATAATCAAGGTAATTAAAGTAATTTGAGGAACTATATATGTTACACCACGCCACCTCAATTTGCACCTTAAATTAGATTATATGATACAAGGTGATAAAAAAAGTAGTACCTCTGTAACCAAGCTAGTGGTTTGAATACAGGAAAAATGAGCATACACTACGCATCTTCTTCGTCTTCTTCTTCACTTTGTTGATCAAAATTGCTGACTGTCTGAGGCTCATAGTCGTTCTCCGGCAACGCATCTTCTTCGTCAGATTTTTGATTGAAGTTGCTTAATATCTGAGGCACATAGTCGTTCTCGGGCAACGGTCTAGTCGCATAATTGCTCTCCGGCAAACGTCTGCTCGGACCTTCCTCTGGCAATGGCAATGTCACCTCAGCTTGGTCAATAGCTGCCCCTGCCCCTGCCCCCAATAAGGGCTCAAATATTATTGCTGCTGAATCTTCAAAAACTACTCTTCTTTCCACTAATATAAACTTTTGGGCAACAACATATAATATTCCCAAGAAAGCAAAACCTACAAATCCCAATGAAATAGTCCACACTGTAGAGCTAAGTTGATTATTATTTCCATCAGCAGAAGGAGAAGGACTAGGAGCAACTTTCAACTCAGCAACTATGCCAAAATGGCCTTGTTTTCTAGTTGAACAACCATTTCCATTTGTTACATTGCCAAATTCGACTGAATTATTCGAGTAAAAATGAACACACATGATCAAAGACCCCTCTGGTGCAGGCTGCACATTACTAAACTTAATATTAATAGGAAATTCCAAAGCATGAACCTGCAATTCTGGCTTATTTTTGGCACACATATCCATTGCATCATAAGCTAAAATACCCAAAACTGGTGTTAGATAAGTGTAACCATGCAAAGGATAATAAAATGAGGACCAATTACCAAGATTCTGGTAAACCAGAACAATTCTTGTTACATGAGGCTCCTCAGTGATCCCAGTTGGGATAATAAATTCATTAAAGTAACCATAACCTCTCCATTTTAAGCTATCTCTTCTAAGCATCAAAGCTGAAATTTTAATCCCAGCCAAAGTGGAAGGAACAGATCCATTGTAAGCAGTACCAGTTTTGGTTTTTGGCCATGACAATGCCTTGAAAGCATATTCTTGAAGTAAAGAATCAATTGAGCTTTTCGCTGGCGAGTCTAAAGTACTAATTGATTCAGATCCAATGACAACAGCAACAACAACAAGCCAGATAATTATGTATAGATAACCTACTGAATGCATCATACTTTTCCTAAATTTTGTTTGAATTGTGGAAACTAGAGAAAAGGGACTAAAAGAGATTAAAATTAGAATGAGATTTCAGAAGGTGGAATACATTTGTGATGAACTGGAGAAAGAATAAGTGGTGAACGACTAATTAAGGCACAGCTGTTAAAAATTAAGTCAGCTCTTAATCACTCTACGGTGTTTGATTCCCTTATTTGTTTATCATATTATATAATAATATCAGGTTGCTGTTTGGTTACCAAATGTGCCATCTGTGCAGATTTCTAGCACTATAAAAAAGCAAAACACAAATAAGAATTATGGTATTCAACTTCATAGAACTTCATGGTGGCTGTTTTATCTAAGGTCAGCTCTGAATAGTGATTTTATTATTTATTTTTTATTACTGCTCTTACTATTATTTATTTCGGTCTTGCTTTTTGGTTTAAGAAACAGACAATTCTCCATTCTAATATGTTTAGAAAAATGTTTTCCTGTAGTTGATTGATAAGTGATAATTATTTCCCTATAGAAAAATATTTATTAACTTTTCTAATGTTTAGCCTCACATGTCCGCCCTCGACCTAGCCGAATGAAGCCAGCAGGCTAACATGGATTAGGCTGGACAACCTTATTTTAAATAGAGCACATCTAGACTCGAAGACATTAGTCAAAACTATTAAGGATATATATGTGCAACATTAAATATCCCTTAGAAATCCCAATAAAATAGTCCACATTTTTTAGTGTTGGGATAAAAAAACAAGAAGGCGTCATGTGAAAGAACTTTTGGGTCGATAAATCGGATAACAAAAAGAAAAATACTAAATAAGACATTATAATTTATTATGATTTGGTCAATCGGTCTACATATGATTTATCACTAAGATAAAACAAAAAGAAAATTCTTGAGAGAACGGTATTCCCCTAAATAAAACTCTCTTAAGAAGTACATTGTATCGTGTATGAAGGAGGGATCCTCAATTTATACACTTCCATAATCTTTTTTCCAAGAAAGTGATCTGTCAAATATGGAAGAAATATAGATTTTACTTTTCATTTTTCTTTTATGAAAAGTAAAATCAATTATAGTAAGGTATTTTTCCTTCCTTCAAGGAAAATAAAAATTCAAATATATGAAAAGAAAAATGAGGACAAACCCTAACAATTCTCCCTTTTGGCCGGAACTAACTTGACAATACTTGATCAGCTTTCTTCATATAATCTTCATCACTCTTGTTTGTCATTGCTAAAAATTTATACTGGTTAAAATAAGAGTTCTGTGGGTTAAAAGTGAGCACGGGTTAATTAGAGCCCTGGATTAAAAGTGAGCAGGATTAAAAATATTGAAGCCCTACATTACAAGTGAGTAGAGTTAAAAGTGGACCCTACGTTGAAAGTGAGCAAGATTAAAAATAAAGCCCTTGCGTTAAAAGTAAGAAGGGGTTAACGGTTGGAGCTCATGCGTTAAAATTTAGAACAGGTTAAAAGTTTGAGCTCATGCGTTAAAGTAAGCATGAGTTAAAAACAGTTTTTATTTTGTAAAGATGCAGCAATAGGAATGGTAAAAATACGGTTGAAAGTATGTCTTCGCATGTAGTACTCCAAACAATAATTTTTTTTTTTGGACAAAAATTTTTATTATCGTCAAATTGGCCGCAACTTGACCTGAACCCACCTTAAACCTGTCTTCAATCTCGTTGAATCATTATCTCTTATACCACTTATTGGGATAAAAAATAACAAGGCGGCATGCGAAAGTTAACAAAGAAAATTACCTTGGCGACGATAATTTAGACAACACGAAAAAATATATTAAATAAAGCATAAATAATTTATTATAATTTGGTGAATCAGCCTACATATGATTTATCACTAATATAAAAGAATTTCTTTTGAGAGGACATTCACTCCCTAAACAATATTCTCTTAAGGACTACATTGTGGATGCTATGTATTGTGTATGAATGAGAGATTCTCAAAATATAGAGCTCCACAACCTTTTCTTCCAAGAAATGGATCCACAAGATATGGAAGAAGTTTATATTTTCCTTTTATGAAAAAGTAAAATCAATTATGGTAAGGTCTGTTTCCTTCCTTTAAGAAAAAAAATCAAGGCAAATCCTAACATAGAGCGATGAGTTTGAACTATAGTTAATTCATATCATTATCTATATCTATTTATACTATATTATAAGCGCGAAGGCCATTAATAAAATATTGTTCACCTTTTTTACCCTTTAAAATTAAAGTTTACACTAGACAAAATAATTATTTAGTTATTTTTCTAATATTTAGGAACATTCGTTTAATTAATTCCCTACTATCTAGGAATAGTTATTTAATTATTTTTCGAATATCTAGGACTTTGAAATCAACTAATACTGTACTTATTAGTAAATTGTTTCTTATTTTAATTATGCAGATTAATCTCACCCCAACTTTGTATCTTTAACGTGTGTAAACATTATGATTCAAGTAGTAGTCATTTTTTTTTTGTCATTTTACTTAAACATAGAGGGCTTTGGATTTTTACACTCTAATAAAGTAGTTAAAATAATTAAATTTTAGAATTTATTATAATCAAATGTTAGTCAATATTTTTATCCTCTACAAATAGATTTTACATTGAAAAAAACTTTATACTTAAATGATCATTCTAATATTTAAAGTTTTAAAAATAACTAAAATTCTCTACGTGAAATGTCATATCAATATTTTTATCCTTTGAGCATAGAATTATTATTGGATAATAATATAGTTAACGTTAAATATTAAACTTAGGAGGATCTAATTAATATTAAGAATTTGAATAAAGAAAAACTATTTCCTCTAATGTTGAGAACGAATAATTAAAATTTTGAACTAATTTAACAAAATAAATTTTTGAATCAACTAATTAGATAGAAAATTCAATTCAAATATTTTACAAATTCATCATATATCCAAAACTTGTAGTTAGGGGTGACAAAATGGTTAAAAGAAAATAGTTAACCACCCATATTATCCACTAAAAAATGGATTGGATAATGAAATATTTAAAAACGGGTCAAATATGGATAAGAACCATATTATCCATTTAGAAAATGGATAATCAATGGGTAACCAATGGATAACCAAAGGGTCTAACTTTTATATTTGTAAAGCCTCAAATTGGGGGTTCCTCAAGTTAGGGAGACTAAGAATTCTCCCAAAAGTGATCATATGCAAGAAGTCATGGATAATATGGTTACCCATATTATCCGTCGGTTAACCCGTTTTTTATCCGTATTAAATATGGGTCGGGTCGAATAATTTATCTGTTTTTTCATTATCCATTTTCGACCCAAACCATATCCAACCCGCCCGTTTGCCACTCCACTTGTAGTGTACATAATAATATTGATGGTAAGAGAAATAAAAATAAAATAAAACAAAATTAGTTACAATATAGAATTGAAAGTCAAATTGATAAAACTACTGTCACGACCCAAAACATAACATGTCGTAATGGCACCTAATATGGTACTAGGCAAGCTGACAACTCAAACATTTCCAACACTTTTAAATGAAAAATGAACTAAAACAAGTTTAAATGATTTGCTCTCATAAACTGAATAAAAGATCGAAACTCAATACGGAAGTTCCCAAAACCAGGGTGTCACTGAGTACATGAGCGACTATCCAACACAAGTCTGAAATATTATCTAAGAAAAAAAATGTAACTAAATACAGAAAGCCGAAAGATAGGAAAGGAGAGTCAAGGTCTGCGGACGCCGGGAAGCTACCTCGAAATCTCCGAATGACTAAGCTGCTCAGATAATCAGCACGCCCCGTCTCCGAAAACGCCTGGATTTGCACACAAAGTGGAGGGTGTAGCTTTAGTACAACCAACTCAGTAAGTAACAAGACTAACTATTGGACTGAAAGTAGTGACGAGTTTTACGGGTACAGTTCAATTACAGAATTACAGTACAAGAAAGTAGGCATGCTTTCAAGTTCGGCAGTTAAAGCCAAAACAGTTAAATCATGTCAAGTTCAATTGAAACAGGATTTGGCACATCTCAGTAATTACATGACAGTTATATATGCTAACTGAAGTACAAACAGTGATGAGATCATGTGCATACTCTCAGAGTATCACTCACTCAGTCATCCCCTTCTTTCCAACCTCACAGTCACTCATTCCTCACAGTCACTCCATCCTCACAGCCACTCAATCCTCTCAGTCGCTCGGTCCTCGCGCTCGACACTCGCACTCAGTAGGTACTTGCGCTCACTGTGGATGTGCAGACTCCGGAGGGGCTATTATAGCCCAAGCTCTATAATAAGCCAATCATGGCATGAATCAAAATAACATGTTGCAGCGTGAAGCCCGCTCCCATAAATATTCTCACAATCAGGCTCTCGGCCTCACTCAGTCAACAATCTCTTTAGTCGCTCGGGCCCTCAAGAATCATGATAATCAGTCCAAACAAAGATATAATGTATCAATGAAGGACAACGGAGACTGAGATATAATATGGAATAAAAGTTGTGACTGAGTACAAAATGACAATTTAGAAATTAACTCACCATATAACACAACCTCTGTTGGTCCCTACAGTACCAACACATAGCCTATGCATGATTTCTAACATGCCTGCAGCTCAATTTCTTTAACACAAGATGAAAATACGGATAACGACGAGATTAATCAATTATGTTGTTCCATGGAATCGACCAAGTCACAATTCTTGCGGTGCACGTCCACACGTCCATCACCTAGCATGTGTGTCACCTTAACACCAAGCACATAACACGTAATTCGGGATTTCATACCCTCAGAACCAAGTTTATAAGTGTTACTTACCTTAAACTATGCAAATCCCTATTCCGATAAGCCCTTGCCTTGCGAAACGGGCTCCAAATACCTCGAATCTAGCCACAAACAATTCGATACAATCAACACGAGCTAAAGGAATCAATTCCATAAGAAAATACTAAGTCCTTAATCAAAATTCAAAAAGTCAACTCAAAAGTCAATCCTCGAGCAGACGTCTCGGAATCCAATAAAAGTAACAAATCCGAGCACCCATTCAACCATGAGTCCATCCATACCAAAATTACTCAAATTCGATACTGAAATCTCGATCAAATCCCCAAATTCGGTTTAAAACTTTCCTCCATTTTTTCCCAATTTTCCAAA